ATTTGGTGAAGAGTTTTTAGACATGACACTAAAAGCAGTATCCAGAAAATTAAAACACTCTGGAAAACAGTTTGGCAGTTTCTTTTAAAAATCAACGTGCAACTACCATATGACCTAGCAAATGCACTCCTGGGCATTCACCCCAGAGAAATGAGAGCTTATGCCCACACAAAAACCTATACATGATTGTTCATAGCAGCTTTATTTGTAATAGCCCCAAACAGGAAACAACCCAAAGGTCCTTCAGTAGGTGAATGGCTGGAGAAATCACGATACATCCATGCCATGGAATAGTACTCAGCAATAAAAAGGAACAAAGGGCTTCCCTGGTGGCGCAGTGGTTGAGAGTCCACCTGCCAATGCAGGGGACACAGGTTCGTGCCCCGGTCCGGGAGGATCTCACGTGCCGCGGAGCGGCTGGGTCCGTGAGCCATGGCCGCTGAGCCTGCGCGTCCGGAGCCTGTGCTCTGCAACGGGAGGGGCCACAACAGTGAGAGGCCCGCGTACCCCCCTCAAAAAAAAAAGGAACAAACTATTGATACATGGAACAGCTTGGGTCGATCTCAAGGGCATTATGCTTAATGAAAAAAGCCAGTCTCAAAAGGTCACACACATATTTCATGACTCCATTTATATAATGTTCTCAAAATGATAAAATTACTGCGCTAGAGAACATATCAAGGATAGGAGTCGGAAGACCTTTGTGGAGATGGGATAGTTCTGTCTTGAAGCAGTGGGGTGGTGGCTCCCTGAATCTGTACACACGATTGAATGGCCTGGAACTATACTCACACATCATGGCAATGTCAATTTCCTGCTTTTGGTATTACACTGTAATTATGTAAGATGAAATCCTTGGGAGGAACTGGGTAAACACAGGACCTCTCAGCACTGTTTTTCCTATGCATCTATAATTATTTCAAAATAAATCCCTCTGCCACTTGTTCTGTGGCAACACAGGTCACGAATTCATCACCAGGAGACACGAGGAAAGCTAGGAAGGGCTTTGAGCATAGGTATAGGAGGAAAGGGTCTAAGTGACCTTTGACCACCACCCCACCCGTTCCCATGGTTCTCCCTCCCCACCCCCCAAACCATCCCCCAAAACTGCCTCCCCAACACACACACACAAGCAGGGCAAGGTGGGCCTCTCAGGGGACAGACACCCTGGAGATCATAAAATATGCTGTCCCCAATGTCAGAGAAATACATCCTGGGGAGGGAGGAGCATATCTTAATCCACCAGGTTGATGAAGGAATTCTTTTGGCCCAGACGGTTCTCTTCAGAGTGTCTCCCCAAGCATGGATTGCAGGTTGCTGGGATATAGCACTTTCCTCTGGAAACTGAGAAGTTGAGTCCAAGCTGCTGCCCCATGATTGGGAGTCAGAGGCCTCAGGACGTTACGGACACAGGCCAGGACAAAGCACCTCTCCCTCATTCGGGGGCCTCCCTCCCAGGTCACAGGTCACAAGGGCCACCCAGGCCAAGCTGTGAGATTCGTCTATCCCTTTCTTCCCACTTTTCTTCCCCAGCCTTCCATCCCCACTGACTGGATATCCATTATTTCCCTACACTGGGGGCCCTGGTGTGTTTAAGTTCCCAAACTTTGGGCAGCAATTACCAATCGACCACTCCTTCTATAAGACAACCTCAGTTTGGCCCCAAAAGTTTCATTTTCAGAAGAAACAGATCTCTTTGAGGCTGCCAGGATAAGTTAGCCAAAAGGCTCCCCGCTAACTCCCCCACCCCTGCCCCATAATTGCTGAATGAGCCTGTTTTTAATTTAGAGCTTTGGAGTACTGGATGCCAAACTGCTCCCTCTAACCATGACTGGTGAGCAGGTCCTCTAGTTCTTAAGAATGCTGTAACCCAGAGGCAATTGAGACTGTCTCTAGATTAAACTCGATTGTATTGACTCCTGCAGAAGGAAGTACCAAAAACTCAGCCTGAGCCTGAGAGTCACCAGGCTCGAGATGAGGTCGGGAGGAGTGAAGGGGTCTGAGCCTGTTAGTGCTTACGCGGATCTGTGCTGCAGCCATGGCAGTGGCCCCTGGTCACGGCTGAGATGTGTGTGTCACCAGGGCCTGGAGAAAGCTCTGACCACTTGGAACAAGCACATCTGAGGAATCTCCACACGCTAACGCTGAGCTGACCAGTGCCGTGCGACAGAGAGGGCCAGGCGCACAGGGGTTAGGGGTTCTGACCTGGAGGCTCACGTTCCTGGTTCCTCTACACTCCACTCTTTCTGGTTATGTATCCAAGCCCAAAGGACCAGCCTCACTAAGCCTTGTTTTCCTCATCATTAATGGGGACAGTAACAGCATCCAGTTGACAGAGCTGTAATGAGGACGTCATATGGGTGAGATATTTCCATAGTTCCCAGTAAATTCAGACAGATCTGTTGCTGTTTGCTACTATTGCTATTTTTGGGTATTATTATTAACTGTAGTTTTTCTTAACTATTAACTATGTCTCATAGAATGAGGCATAATTGGTGGAATAATCGATCCTAAATGACGTTTGAATTCACAGTCTTGTTTGTTGAGGCGGGAACTGACCTCACAATGATGCCAATCCCAGAAAACCTAGTATGGTTTACAAAGCCATTTCCTCTGCCTCATTCCACATAATCCTTATGAAGGCCTTCTCTACCCTGCCTCCGGGAGGAGGGAATTGTTCATGTTGCCCAGTTTTTTTTCACATAAGGACTCCGAGGCTCAGGGATACTTCCCTGTGTTACCTAGTTAGTAAGGGGATGGCATGGGGCTTGGATCTGAGTCCCCTGGCTTCATCTTCTCTCCCTAAACCATGTGGTATGTGGCGTTTTGCAGGAATGTCATAAAGCCTATTGGTTAGTCTGTCCCAACAACGAGGAACCTAGAAAAATGATGGGTCCTCAGGTTGGGTGTCCTGTGTTCCTCCCATGTCACACATGTCACGACATGTGCAGTCCATACCCCCCTGGCAGGGTGCATGGCAGCCACCAAACCTCTCACTGGGAGAAGGAAATCTCTCATCAAATAGCAAAGCCCCCAGAAGCCAGCCCTACCCCGTGGAAGAAATGACTTCAGGGAGTTTAACTAATGGAATTCCAGCCCCCAGATGTGCCTTGAGATATCCAGTCTCCTAGCTGGTTTCAGGCGGATAAGTGAAGCTAAGTGGAAGTTGCTCCTAACTCTGGTCTTAGAATTACTATGGATCAACGGAGGCAATGATTAAAGGAATCTGGTTTTTAGAGTTCAGAAAAACTCCTAACTGGTATGAGCCTTCCGGAGGCCGATTGGCCTGCACCCAGGCCTCAGGCACATGTGGCTATATCATCGGCATGTGATAAATTATCTTATTTTTATAGATCTTCAAAGAAACTGCTGTCATAAACTCATTTATTTTAGGGACTCAGGGCAGGTCTAAATGGATCAATCTCGTTTGGGGTTACCCTCGCTGTCAGCTGTCCCTCCTGCTCCCAACCCTAAGAGTGGTGAAAACAGAGAGAGTTGTCCCCACCCTGGCTCCCTCCTGGGCCTCTCTCTTTTCAGACCACCCAACTGTTGCCCCTGCCCTTTCCTCCCAATTCCTAATTTATAAACCCCAAGTTTTCCACAATTCTCTGCTGAAACTTCTCTAAACTCCTTTAAATGATGGAACCAAAACCACACACAGTGTTCTCATCAGGGTCTGGCCAAAGGTGAGGAGATTTGAGGATTATTTTAAACGATCTCAAAATTTCTATGTCTTATTTACGTCCAACCATGGAATCAATTCAACCTTTATTTAGTGTGGTGTGGGGAAAGAGCAGAAGCAGGAGTGGGGAGCCCAGCTCTACTGCTAACAATATGAGTAAGTACATAGATGGGCTCCACTGTGACCTCCAGATCCTTTTCTGTTGGACACACATAACTGGCCCACAGAGACCCCCATCCTCCATTTGTATGTTCTGGGTTCCCCTTAATTGTGCCACTGGAGGCATTACCTAGCCCCATCTGATTGTGTGATTGCCAGAAACAACCTCTCTGCACCATAATTCCCACCCTGACCCCAAGGAGCCGTGACCTGGGCTTTACAACCTCCCACATCCTCACCACAGGAGGTGCATTCCTCAGTTGCTTCTGCCCTCCCAGAAGAGGCAAAAAAGCCCGAGTGTGGATTCAACCATTCCAGTCCTCTTGGACCTGTGAGGAGGTGGAAAGCATTCCTGACCCCCTGGGGGGTCCTCACCACACTACTGCCTACACCCCTTCACCTACTCCCCATAACTTGCCAGGCACCTGCCTAGACTTTACGGAATAGACTGCGAAAGCCACTGCTTTCCTGGGGCCAGTTCCGGACCAGGAAAGCTGGTCCAAGAGCTGCAGTGTTGGTTGCCAGCCTCGGGGGAATTCTCAGCATTGCAGGCAGCAGCCCGTTCAGGTAGCAGAGCTCACGCACTGCCGCCCTTGGGGAAGACGAAAGCCTAGTGGAGAACAGCCCTTCTGCCAGCCACCCAGGGTGAGATAGGCTCTGATATTCATCTCAGAGTGACCCCAGCCTGTCCCCTACAAGGCGCCAGACACGGGCAACTCCAAGCCCATTCCCTTAACGAAGTAACTGCCCACAGGAGCCCAAAAAGGTGCCCCGGAGATGTTCTTTTTCAAAGAACAGAACAATTCCCTAGGCTAGTGCCAGGACTATCTGAATAGAGTTGGCCCAATAAGCAAGTACTTTCATCGCCCTGTTTCCTACCCTGACGAGGGCGTGTGAGCACGCGCGCGAGCACATACTCGCACAAACACATGCACACACGCACACACGCCCAGCACGCGCTTCCCTGGCCAGGTGGCCCCTCGCCGGCGGCGCAGGGCCCGCGGGGATGCGTGCCGGAGCGTGACACCGACGGATGGACGGCGAGGGAGGGAGCCCGCCCCCCCAGCGCCTCCCGAGCGGCCGCAGCACTGACGCCGGGACCCCGCCGAAGGTGCGCCCGGCGCGGCTCGGACCAGGACGTCCCGGGTTCTCCGCTCACCTTAACGTTGCTGAAGATAGAGCGGGGACAGCGGCCGGCTCGGCCCGCAGAGGCGCCGCTGCCCTGGCGCGCGCCGGGCTCGGGTAGAAGCCCCATGGTGGCTGCAGCGAGGGGCCCGGGGCGGGAGGCCGGGCGAGCGGGGCCGGGACGCCTGGGCTGCGGCGGGCGGCCGGCGAGTGGCGGGTGCGGCGTTGGTGGCCGGAGGAGGCACGCGGCGCGGCCTGAGGAGACTGAGCGCGAGGGTGCGCGCCCAGAAGTTTTATAAGTGGCCGCCGCCGCCACCGCCGATGATGAAACGCGCGCTCCCTCCTCCCTCTTTCCCTCGGGTGTCAAGGGCGCTGCGAGCCCCCGCCCCGCCGCCGCCCCCTCAGACAGGTGTGACGCGGTGGCCGGCTGCGCTTGACCTCGTTCCGGCCGGAGTTGTCTCCGCGCCCGCAGCCCTGCAGGGACCCGGGAGGCTCGACCGCCCCGGGAGAAGGTCCCGCCCGCTGGAGGGTGGGGGCGGGAGGTGGCGGGCCCCGGGAGGGGGAAGTCTGAGGGAGGGGGCGGGAGGCTGCTGAGTGGGGGGGGGGGGGCGCCCGGGGCGCTGACGGGGCGGGGTGAATGCCGCGGGGGCCCCGACAAGGGATCGGCAGGGCTGCGGGGGCCGGAGGAGACTGGCGGAGGAGCGAGGGGCGCCGGGGGTGCCAGCGGGAGCCAGGGGCGTCGGAGAGGCGCCGACGCTTGTGAAGGGAAGCGGAGCCTCCGCGCCCCTCCCGACGCGCTCAGGAAGGTTTACGGAGTCGGTCTCTGCTTGTTTGCACTCGTCGAAAACCTGGGCTCTCAGTTCCGGTGATGGCTCTGAGACTTGCCGAGGCTCTGTTTGCGTCCAGGACTGATTTATATTTAAACTGCTCTTTGCGCTGTAGAGGGGCCTGGTAACAAAGGTGGAGAGGTGGGGGCCGCCCCGGGCTGGGCCTGGACTCTCTGGACGGGAGCCAAGGTAAACTGGAGGTGCTGTCGAGTGTCAGCATGGCTGCGCCTGGCCTGGAGTGTTGAGGGGAGGCGGGGGAGGTCGTGGACAAATGGGATGCACTCACTGATCTCCTTTTCAGGGCTGGAATAGAACAAACGCTTACTTTTTTTTCCCCAAGATCTTTTCCACCAGGAGAGGTAGTACAGAAAAGAGAAAGAAGGTGACACTTTCACGAGAAGGGTAAGAAGGGTCTGCCCAAAGGAGCTGCAGTAAGGAATCCAGTTCTGGGGGTATTTTTCTAACTCCGTAATTCCTGTAGTTATCTGCAGAACCAACCTCTTCAAGCCCCCACCCTCACATCCCCCTCCTAGCTATTCCCAAGAAAAGATGCCCCTCAACTCCCAGGAAGATTCGGCTAAGACAGGGGCCACAGGACAGATGGACCATGTAGGTTTCTTACTTCTACCCAAGGCCTGATGCCTTTCTGGGCCTGGTCTGGGCTGTCCGATGTCCAGGGGCTTCTCCTTTCTACCTGTGGCCCAGGACCCTGGACACAACAACACACAGTGCTGGAGGGAAAGCCACTGGACAGTGGGTGGCCTTGGGCCACTTTACTCACCCACAGATCGAGGGGCATCAGAGAGGCTTTCCAGAGCCCTGCAGCAGCCCCAGATCCAGAGTAGGCATGAAACTCTGGTCACCAGTAAGCCGTCTCAGAGAACTTGCAACACAAGAACGGCCTTCCCCACAGAGCACTCAATGTGTGCTGGGCGCTGGGCTGTAGCAGCCATGATGGACTGCGCCAGGCATTCTGCCGGCACCCCCAGGCACGATGCCACAGAACCCCAGCATTAGCCCGACGGTTATCAGCACTGTCACAATCTGGATTTTACAGACGATGATGAGGTCAGCCAAAAAGAGTGACTGGAAGTCATACCCCCAGTAAGCAATGCAGCTGGAACCTGAACCCTGCTCTCCTGACTCCAAAGCCCAGACTTGCAGCACTATGCCCTTTGAAAAGCTATCTATCCCAGCAGTGAAACCAAGCAGAGACCAGAGAAGGCCCAGGCCAAGGTCATGGTCACATTAGGGCCACCGTGACTGGAGCCTCTTCCTCAAACCTTGAGTGAGTCCTTGCCATGGTCCTCTGACAGAATCCTAGGCAGGGTCGGCCTCTCCAGCCCTCACCGCGTCCTGACCCGTTCATCTTGCCTCTGCCCACTGTCAGGACTAGCATCATCTTTAAAGAAAAGGTCTATTCAGAAATGCCCACGGATGGTTATCTGCCATCATCTGTCTTTTCTATGGGGAGTGCAGCTAAATGTAATGGAGACCCAGCTGAAGTTGGGGCCTCAAGGAGATTTATTTGTCTTTCATAATAAGAAGCCACTAGTAGGTAGTCTAGGGGTCATGACCTAGGTCCCTTCAAGATTCCTTAGTGTGTGACTCCCGTCCTTATGGCTGGCTCATCATCACAAGATGGCTGCTCCACCGCCAGCCTCCTCTCCTAATTCCAGGGAGGAAGTGGAAGACAGAAAACAGGAAGGGGCCGTGAGCACATCAGGGAAGCAAATCTCTCCTGTGCACGCTCAGCTACCTTTCCTTAAGGCTTGTTGGCCCAAACTGGGTCACATGGTCACCCATTAGAAGGCGGCTAAGAATTGTAGTTAATACTCTAGCTGCTTCCTTTCAGCGTCTACACATAGGGTAACCCATTTCCCTCAAAGAACACCCCCAGGGTCTGTTTCTAAGACTCTTCCCAGATCCTTTGATTTCAGCAAATACTTTTTAGCACTAGAAAAACAAAGACAAAGACAGTTCCTTGTGAACTCTATGAACTCAGGGTGGGGAGTGAGGAGAGGAAGCATCAGTGTGACACAGGAAAAGAGCTGTTGGCCTCATCTGCTATGGGAACACAGTTAGGACCCTAACTCGTCCTGGAGCAGCAGGGAGGTTTCCTGGAGCAGGTGACTTTCAAGCTGAGCCCTAGGGACTGCCAGGATTGGGAGGATTAAGGTGAAGGAAGGTAAATCTGCTCCATGATTTGAGTCTGGCTGGAGCATGAGACCTGGGGACCGTGGGAAGGTGTGCGGTGAAGAGGTTGGGACACGAGCGGCATGCAGTGAAGTGTAGGTCTTATCCCCAACATAATGGACAGCCTTTAAAGGCTTCTGAACAGGAGGTGACGTGGGCTGTTTGGCATTTTACATGGGCCTTTCTGGCAGCGGGGTCAGAGTGCAGTGGGGCAGTCTAGAAGGCATCTCAGGAGCTCTGCGGGGATGACTCCCAGGGTCTGACTTGGGCAGCCTGCATCAGTGACACCAGCTACTGGCAGAGGGGACCAGAAGGGGCAGCAGCAACTGGGGGAATGCGATGCGTCCTCCTAGGTTCCTTTTGAGTTCAGACGGCCTGGAGCACATGCAGGCAAGGCATCCAGCAGGCAGACTGGTACAGGGGTCCAGTGCTCAGGGCAGACGCTGAGCTAGAGATTGTGGCCTGGACATCGGCATGGAGGCAGTGGGTAAGCCTCAAGAAAGGATGAGTCTCCTGGTGAGAATGTGTTGGAGAAACAGGTCCAGGACCAGCCACAGCAACATCCAGGTCACGCAGGGGATGTAGCCAGTAAAGGAGACAGAGGGGAAGAGTCCAGCATGGAGGGAAGTAAACCCGAGAGTGCATGTCCACATGTTGATATAGCCCCGGGGTAGTGTTTCGAGGAGGAGGAGGTCAGGAGCATGCCTAGGACGGTGAGGAGGGAAGATAAGACCCAAGGATGGCCATCGGGCTGGCTGTAGGCTGGCACCGAGGACCTTGGCAAGTATTTCCGGTGAGTGACATGATTAGAAGCCAGACAACGTGGGCTGAGGAGGAGCTGGAAGGGAGAAAGTGCAAACGGAGGCCGGCAGAACTTGCCCCAGGGGTGCAGAGGGAAGAAGAAAGGTAAAGGAGCTGAGCAGCTTCTCATCTGAGCCCTGAAACCTCCTGCTTTCTCTCTGCTTGAAACTGGAGCAGTTACATGTCCCGCCTCCAGGCTTTTGTTCATGCTGTTCCTCCTGCCCTGCTGCCTGCCTCATAGCACTGGGCTTCTACCCTTCAAGGGCAGCTCCTGTTACTGCCTATTCTGGGCCCCCATAAAAACAATAGAACCTGTCACATACAGTATCCCCTGTCACTCAGGAAACTAGAGGTCATTATGCCCATTTCACAGATGAATAAACTGAGGCTTGGGGCTCTTCCCCAACACATACCATGTGTTCCTGCCTTTATTTTCACAGGTTCCATTGGAGACAATACATGTGTTGCTGAGGGCACAGACCCCAAAGTCAGACATAGATGCCACTACCCTTCACAAGCTGCGTTACCTTAGTTGGCCTGCTTAACCTCTCAGCTTCTCTGAGAAGCTGGGGCTGTTATAAGTGTGTGAAGTGGTGCCGAGAGTTCCTGGTGCTGGTGTGGGAACTGCCGGTGCCTGGTGGTTGGTGGGATTGATGGTGTTCTCTTGCTCCAAATCAGCTGTGAGCTCCTTGAGACAACGGTTCTGTGTTCATTCTCTTTGCGTCCCCTATTTGGCCGAGCATATCCCGTTGCTTTAAAATGTTTATTTAATGGAATTGAGCTGAAATGAAGTCCAAAAAGACCCAGTGACTGGGAAAGGCCTCATTGCTCCTGAGGCCTCCAAGCCCTTGCTGTCTCTGTCAACCCCCTACTGCCTGCATTCCGGGCCCCTCCCTTCTGCCCCCTGGAGGCCTCCTTCATCAGCCTTGTTGTCACTGGAGGCTGGCCAGGGGCCCCTTGGTATGTTTATCAGTCCCCGAGCCACACCCAACACTCCTGCAGCCACTAATGGGGGTCTGTTGACAATTTGGACGCAACTACGATCTTGCATTAACTCTGCCCACCTAGCTCCTTGTGTGCCAAGTTGGGGGGGTTGTGGTGAGGGGGGCCCAATGACCACCCCATCACCAAGGTGGAGGGCACCCCTGCAGCCAAGTGCTCCACCACTTTGTCAGTGACACTGGTGGGGAGGCCTGGTCCCCTGTGAGCCGCCCTGGCCACTAGTTTATATTTTTATTGGACAAACATGCAGTGTTGACAGTCCTTGCCCCGTGCTGGCACAATGCTGATTCATTTAATCCTCAAAACAGCCCAATAAGAGGGATTACTTTTATTAGTGCCATTTTATA